ACATGTCTACTTTATCTCTGGCCTTGTCACTTCTTCTTGAAAGGTTGCAAAATGTAAAGTACTTCAATAAATTATGAAAAGAAGGCTTTTCAATCAAAATATTGGAAGGAGTGCTTTCTTTGTCTTTTATGGCTTCAACCAGGTCCATTCTTCCAAGCAACTTAATGCTTTGATCTGAACTTAGAATTAAATCTCATTAATATCCAAGAATTTGAATATTGGCATAAACTTGCCCTTTTGGATAACCGGGCTTTATTTTTGTCTTCCAATTTTCCGAAGACCGATTCTTCTATTTTTTTTGTTTTGTTTTCTTTTCTTCTCTTTTTTTCTAATTTTTTTATACCTCCCAATTTTTTGAAGGTATATATATTTTTCTTAAACACATCCCCCCAAACTTAATGTTTACAATGTCCCCATTGTTGCCAATGGGACCAAAACGGTACGGGTTGGGCGCAAAGGGAAAAGTGTTTGGGCTTAAAATAGAAGGAGAGCCTACATCCTTTTAACTTTAACACTATCAAAATTCATCCAAGGGTGTTGTACCTGAAATGAATAATGGAACTAGACAAAACAAAAAGAAATCTAACACCATTTGTCATAAATATTCACACAAAAGAAAATGACATTCCGCAAATCATACACAAAAGACGGAATAAAAGTGTATCTGTACCCAAAAGATATACCAAAAAATAATGTTTTAAGAGGCTGTGATGAAAAGTCGAGAATTTAACCATTTTCTTCAAAACTGCTTACTGTGGGCAAGCAGGGACTGCATCAGCCTCCTTGGAGCTTTGGACAACGGGAGCAGCAACTGGAACAGTAACAGCAGGAATGATCGCATTCGTGGTAGGTAATGTAGAAGTAACAGGAACATGAGGAGCAGGAGCAAAAGGCGCAACAATAATGGAAGTAACCGGCATGTGGGTCTGCAAGGGCGGGAAGCACCAAACTTGGGGAGGGCAAAGACCGCTCGGGAACCTTGGAAGTTGGGCCGTCAAGAGAGTATCTTGACGCCCGTAAAGCTGTCTTTCCACCCGATTCCAATCTCGAGTATACGCCCAAAAGCGAGCATTCTTCTTTTACAAATCGGAGACTCGGTCTTCTACACTCCCCACCTTCTTCAATATCGCCTCCAACTTTTGATTCGTCTCTTCCTATTGGAGTGCAAAGACAGACAGCCAAGTGGCCGACCCATACCCCGAGCCTAAAGGATTGCTTAGAGGTGGCTCGGATGGGCTGGCCGCATCATAGCCACATCTTGGTATTTCTGCATCTGGTTCGATCATGGAGACAACGGGTGGCTCCGATACATACGCGGCGGGTGGCTCGGTAAGTGCAACATTCGGCGACTCCGAAACAGCGGCAACATGTGGCTCGGGAAGAACGACCGGTGGCGCATTTGGTTGAGCAGTTGATGGCGCCACGGGCTCTTCCGCATCTCTCTCAACCGGTACGGGATGCTGTAAATTTAAAAAGGGCCGAGAGGCTCTATGCCGACTGTCGACCGTGTTCTGTCCCAACAAGGGAGAGCCAACAACAATTGTATCCTCATCAATGGTAGGGACCCTAGCCTTGGCCATAAGCTTCGTGATAAGGGCCGGAAAGACTAGGCGTGAATGCGTCCTCTGAGAGGCGGCCAAGATGGATGCATGTATAATCGGCCCAAGGTCGATTGGCAACTCGCTCATTATGCAATAAAGGAGGACGCATCGGTCCCGTGAGATTGTACTATCATGAACAGTGGGGATTAAATTGTGTCGCAAAAACTGAAACCAAAGTCCGACCTCCGTGTTGAGATGGCCGGCCAAAATACTTTGGCGTCGGTTGTCCCTCGACCATCCACGATCGGGGAGCGTAAGGAGGGATGCGATATCATCATCGGCAACTTCACGAGTCCCTTTCATAATCTGTGCAAACGAGCATTCCGGTGGTGGGACGAGTCCAAGGGCCGCCATTAAGCTTTGGCCCCGACCATTCCGGTGGTGGGACGAGTCCAAGGGCCGCCATTAAGCTTTGGCCCCGATCAATCAACTTTCTTACCCCGAATATTCAC